ACGGCCGAAGCGTAGCTGAGGCAGGCAACTGTACAAAGCACAAAAAGAGCTTCTACTCCAAATAACATATACAATTTTTTTTTCAAGGGCGTAATATAAATAGAATAAGCAATAACATTATTTTTTTACTCATAACTCATGTGGGATAAAACTTTAGCTAAAAGCATTAGAAATTATTGATAAAAACTAAAAAAACTAAATAACCCTTACTTACAATGCCAATAAATATCCTAAACCATAGAAAAAGGATAAACTAAATATAAACACTGCTTTGTCAAAATGGTGCGCTTGAATTAATTTTGACATTTGACATTTGTTTGGAGTTCCGACTAGGGATGCGCATCGAATACTAAAACATCGATGTTGGCATCGATGTTGACATCGAAGGTTGAATATCGATGTCATCGATATATCGGGTAGAAAACATCGATTTTTACAAAAAATCGATGTTTCAAACTAAAACACAAGTCTAAGAAAAACATGTATAAAATATATTTATTTCCAACTTATAAAAAAATACACATAAAAATATAAACAAAATAAACTTAAATTCTCTTTTTTTAATTTAAAAACAAAATAAACCTAAATTATCGATCAAAAAAAGTTAAGTTAAATCCCAATTTTGCCTATCCAAGTTCTGTAGAAACAGTTATTTAGACAACAGTAGCATCGCAAAGTCTAACATCGATGTCATTAAAACATCGAAAATACAAGATCGATGTTAAAAAATCGATGTTCACTTCATTAAAATCGATGTTTGACGAACATCGAATATTCGATGCGCATCCCTAGTTCCGACATTGGCGACTCGTCTATCATCATAATATTATACTAACAAACTGGTTGTTCTTTATTTCGTTCAATTAAAATTGAATAAATAATCACTTAATATTCCATGCGATTACACAGTACGACAAAATTTGATTTTTGGTCCCTCCCATGAAAAATTTTTACAGATTCTAAAAATAGAGTTAAAAAAATGATACCCGTGTCTCGGCGTTTTTTCACATCACGTCATAATTTTTTTTAAGGGCTATCCAATAAAATGTTATTCACACTATTCGCGACATAATTTAATAGACTCCATAACAGCTGGACTGCATAGTTAAAAATATATATATTAACTAAATGGATAGGCAACCATTATAGATGCATTTTAAAATTATTTTAATCTTATACAGAGTTTTGCACATTTATATATATATATATATATATATATATATCAAACGGTTTATTTTTAAACCAAGTAACAAAATGTTTCAATTTTAAGCCAATCAAAATGCTTTAAAGTCGGGTGATTAAAATTTTTATTTATTCAATTTTTTGTAAAAATTGAGCTTTGTTGAATTAACATTTTTAAAAAAATTAAAAGATATTTCATTGTTTTAATGTACTATATTAATGCGCCATGCACTTAATTGATTGCACCCTATATTTCTTACTGTTTCAATTGACTTCGTATAGACTATACTTAAATACTTTTTTTTTTTAGATGTTTAATAAAAATATTATTGCAGCGATAAATCGATAAATTTTTCATATTAATTTTGATTGTTGAGTTAACCATCCATTTGAAATCAAAGTAAAAATGCAGTGTCCGAATCGAAATAATTTTTGTTATGTATGTGGTTTATTTGCACCTCCAAGCCATATGCGAAATATTACAAAAAGTGTAGTAACAGCTTTTGAAGACTATTTTTTGGTGACGTATATACCAAACTTATGGTATGTACCAGAGGTTTTATGCGATTATTGTTACCGTTGTTTGCATGGATTGCAAGATAAAACACACAGTATGAAATATGTTGCACCAACAATTTGGCTTCGACCCGTCGCGACATACCGAACACGCATCTGACCAGTGTTATTTCTGCATGTCAAAATTAAAAAGTTTTGGATTTCGGTACTAGAGAGAAAATTGATTACGCCGATGTAGAATCCGTCATTCTCGCAAGAGTGCGATCTGAAGATTATCCAACTGCTCCTTCAGAAAACATATGTGAGGATAAAAGTAAAAGACTTTTAACACCCAGTACAACCATTTTTTCTGAGATGGAATCTGAATTTATTCCCTGTAGTTCGAGTTATAAAGTACATTTTATAACACAGGACATGAAAGTACATATGTCACTGAAAATACATTTTCTCCATGCTCATTTGGACTATTTTCCACCAAATTTGGGCGATTTTAGTGACGAACATGGCGAACGTTTTCACCAAGACATTTTAACAATTGAAAAACGCTTCAAGGGAAAAGACGTCAGGCATTTGCTGGGTGAATATTGCTGGTCAATTGTTCGAGATTCTGAAGCAATATACAGCCTGTTCAGAATAAAACCGAATATATCTATATATATAGATGGGGCGTGGCCTCGCCTCCCTCCAAGGCGCGTCACAGTTGCTTGTGTGATAAACGACATGACGAAAGGTCGAGCAGGTAAGGACTTAAAAAATTAAATGATAATAATGCAAAAAATCTCATTAGCGATGCAGTCTATTTGCTTAGCTACTGTGTCGCGCCTTGGAGGGAGGCGAGGCCACGCCCCATATATAGATATATTTGGTTTTAGTCTGAACGAGCTGTATAATCGTCAAACTAAACGACCAAGATTTTATTCCAACATGTATTGAATATAAGATAAATACAAAAAGGTGTTTCATTAAAAAAAAAATAAAAAAAATTATTTAAAAAAAATCAAAATATAAACTTTTTTTATATTTGTTTTTTGTATTGTGTAAAAACATACAATATTTACAAAAAAATATATTTTTAACCGAGTAAAAAATGTACAATCTGTATAAGCATAAATAATAGGAATGACGGCTTAAAATTTTTTTATGACGTGATCTCGTGAAACTGTGAGACACGGGTACGTTTTTTTTACCTCTATTTTCAAAATCTGCTAAAATTTTTCATGGGAGGGAAATCGTGTTGTACTGTGTTATAATTAATATAATTAATACATCGTGATTGCTTTGTATGAAATGCTAAATTAATTTTATTATTTGACGTCTATTGAGTCGCCTATGGATTTACTTCTATCCCTAAGCTTTTTTGCTTTTTTTGTCTGCCGCTAATGAAAAAGCCGCACTTCAACTATCTCTATACATGCATATAAGGTTGCATATCAAGGCCGCTTGAAAAAAAACAAATTTGTTAACTAAAAAATGGATTAAAAATTCATTAGGTACCTATTGGACGCAATTTTTTAACATATGTACACTTCAATCACTTAAACTAAAGTTCAACATGACAAATTCTAATTGTAAATCTATAGATGCTTACAAATCTGATGAGAAAGAAAGCTCAGGCTCGGACGATTCATCATTTAGTTTACATGACACATCGTTCGAGCTTGACTCTCAATCAGATTAATTATTATAATGTTTATATATATATATATTTTTAAAGAATTTACTTAATTTTTATTTTATTTGTTTTAAAAAAGTTTGTTTACCTTTTTTTGTTAGAATGTTTGTTATGTTTTTATTTCAATATATTTTTTTTAAATAATTTGTGTATTTTTGACCATTTTTTTGAAAAAAAACAAGGACCTCTGTTTTTTTTTCTAAAATATATATATATATATATATTAGGGTGCTTCAAAAAAAATTTTTTTTCGCTCTTACCCCCTCAAATGTGTTTATTTAATATAAAAAAATCCTCACCAAATATGGGCGTTCCAGCTCAACTCTAAGAGGTCGCTATTTTTATTTTAGTTTCCCATTGAATAAACATGGGAAAAAATTAATTTATGTTTGGAATTTTATACCTCTGTATCAAAGTAACTTATGGCAATGATAATTGCAGTTTCTTATATAAAATTCGTTTGATTAAAATTAAATTTTCTGGTACAATTAGCAGACGGGAGGTGAAAGGGGGAAAACTTTGACCTCGAATAACTCTAGAAGAAATCAATTTATCGAAAAATAATAAGAGACCTTTCTTGTAGAGCGTTAAATTTTATATAAGAAACTGCTATGATCATTGCCATAAGTTACTTTGATACAGAGGTATACAATTTCAAACATAAATTAATTTTTTCCCATGTTAATTCAATGGGAAACTAAAATAAAAATAGCGACCTCTTAGAGTTGAGCTGGAACGCCCATATTTGGTGAGGATTTTTTTTTATATTAAATAAAAACATTTGAGAGGGTAAGAGCAAAAAAAAATTTTTTTGAAGCACCCTATATTATATATTATATATATATATATATATATATATATATATATATATATATATATATAATATATAATATATAATATAGGGTGCTTCAAAAAAATTTTTTTTTGCATATTATAATATATATTATATATTATATTATATATTATTATATTATATATTATAGTATATATCTTCTAAGAAGTTTTATAATCTACATGCAATAATAATGTAATATTATTTAGATATTGTAAACGATTTCTTTATAAATTAGGTAGTAATTTATAATAAATCTGAAAAATTATTAAAAAAAGAGAAATAGCCATTGTTGCCTTGGCCGCCCCTCTAAAAAGTAAAAATAAACATAAATAAGGAATGAGGTTTTGGTTTACAGTAACAGTAACTTTTCTGACTAAATTATGGGGTTTTTACTTACCTAATTGTAAGAAAATGTTTTTCGTTAATCGCATTGTTTTTAAATACGAGGTGTTGAAAAAAATAGTTTTTATTTTTTTATTAATTAATATTTGGTACATATGGAAGACATTTTCGGCATTTTTGACAAGCATATACCTATTTTGTACTTGCAAACCGAAAGGAAAAAAAATTTTTTAAATAGTTATTAGCGAATCCATATGCAAAATTATGTATAATAGTTATACATGTACTTTTATCTTAACTATTTAATTTTTGAGTTAAAGTCATATGATTACTAAACCTCAATTGCGGCTATTTTCTTTAAAACCGCTAAAAGTTCCCTTACAACAGCTACAGTTTAAATTTTATTTTTAGGTACACGTTATTGAATCAAAGATGTGAAACGTCACGTAGTAGATGACATCACATGCGGAAGAGCCTCGGAATCGCGGGGTTATTGCTTCGTTTTATTACGGCCTAGGACTTTTTTGCAGCACTTACCCTTTTTCCGTCATTGGTTTTGTCGGTATCATCTTTATATTAACATGGTAAGTTAAATAATTTAGATTTAATATTAATTAATATTTTAAAATTGGATCAAAAATTAAAAGGTCTAGACAATATAAAGCCTCTATAAAGATTACAAATATCAAACTCATGCTATCTAGCAAGCAATCTTTCTGGACTTTATAAAAAGCGTGGATTAACTCATGGAAGTCATAAAAAATTATATTAAGGTGTTAAAATGATTACTTAGATCTAGGGAATAAACTGAAATAATTGGTAGGTAAATGAAGAAAATATATAAAATAGTTTTTCCCATACTTTTTATTAGACATTTTCCACATGTACTATAATGAGATCCAAATTTTTAACCAATATAAATGCAATACACGGTAATATTTTGTCAATATTTTTTGCCTTGGACATCTAACAGATCTATTATTTATTAATTTTGCCAAGTTGCTGTTAACATAGAAATTTTTTGAAGTTAAAATTTTTCATGTGAATGTAAAATTTAACCATAACCAGTAATTGTAACAGGCCGCAAAAGCCGCAAACAACTTATTACCCTTAAAATCAGTAAAAATTTATTAAACATTTTAGAAATAATTTTCTCCTTTATTATGATAGTCGTAGAAAAAAGTGTATGCATCTCCCATTTAATGGGCTATTAAGACACTCGCCTTCGGCTCTTATCATAATTCTCATGCTTTTGTCTTAATAGCCATCAATAAATGGTCGTTGCATAATATATTATATATACAGGGTGTGTGAAATCTTCTTATAAAAATAGGTCGAAAAATGGCTCCTAAGGGAGTGGCGCCCCTTTATTATTTCGGAAACATTTTGAGATAAAATAATGAAATGTTGTTTGCCTACTTTACTTTTTATGCTGAACTTAAAAATAGGGTATTTTTAGCCTCAAATTTTTTGTGTATAATTTTTTAGTTTGCTGCAGAATATAAAATTGTAGAGGTTTCTACGTAAAAAGATACTCTAGTTGAACATTGATAAAACGCACCATTTTCGAATAAAAATAGAATAACAAACTTAAAAAAATATTAACAACGAAAACATATATTTATCGAGAACACATTATTTTATCTCAAACCGTTTCCGAAATAATAATATTAAAACATCTTCAGGGGCTTTGTAGGTCCCTTAGGGGCAATTTGCAAACCTGTTCATATAAAGTTTTTTCTGTTTTTGGACCTAAAAATTGCTGGTACATTATTGCACACTATTTTCGGGACACCCTATTAAAATTAATAAGATTTTTTCCATAGTATAGAAGATTATCTGTATTATTGCACACTGAAGCTAAAAAGCTTTTTAGATAAGATTGAAAATTTTATTATCGTTTAATTATTACATTATAAAATTAAACATTTTAGTATTTTAACAGTATTTTGATTAAGGTTTAAAAAAATAATTATAATTTGTTGTCTTATATTTAATTTATGCATGCTGCGGTTCTCCAAATGAGGCCCATGTTGGGGATGCGCCTGAGAATTAAATAAATCGATTTTCAAATCGATTCGGAATCGATTGCTTTTAAATTAATTTTTTTAAATAGATGAAATAGTTCTTTTTGTACCCAGGCCAAAAAGTGACTTTTTTCTGGACGAGTTTGATTTTAATGGCCGAGAACTGAATAACACTTTTTGGTAGTGGTGTACACAACATTTTTTAGGCAATCTTTATTACAATAATTTTTTAATGATTTATTGACATATTTCAATAAAACGGACAATTATAAAAGCGGCCGAAATAGTACGTTATAGGCAGTAGATTGTGTGCAAGGAATAAATAAGCTTTTGCTCCGAGTTTTATGTACTAATTTTTTAAGATTCTGTCACATCATTATGACATTTTAGCTTTATTTTTGTACGGAGTTTAATAATAATTTTACTATTGAACTAGTTTTAATATGAAGTCTTTCTAAACTGCTCGTCATAAAAATCGACGCACCTAGCTTTTTGGGAAATATTTGAAAGATCGTTATTGGAAAATTATTGAATCGATTTTGAAAATCTTTGGAAATTTTGAATTGCTGAGTGTTAAACGAAGAGATGTATTTTTTCCGAAATTTCATAAGGCAGTTGAGTTTAATAGTCGTAATACCCCTCCCTAATATAAGTAAGGTAATCCCTCGGAACGTTTTCGAGATTTTGTGAATATCGCGGCTTAATACGATTATATGCAAATTTTTCGAAAATTGTCGTTATTTCCCAGTTTATTCCAAAAAATGAGCAATAGTGGATTCTTTGCCTTACGTCTAATTTTGAGATATTGTGCACATAGCATTATACTACAGGGTGTAAAAAAGGGATGTTTTTTTTTCTCCAAAATTTTAAATCCCCATTCACAGGGTAGTTGAGCTTGATAGTCGTAATACCCCTTCCTAATAACAGTTAGGTTATCCCTCGGGACCTTTTAGAGATTTTGTGAATATCACGATTATATGGCAATTTTTCGAAAATTGTCGTTATTCTCCATTTTAGTCCAAAAAATGAGCAATAGTTGATTTTTTGACTCCTATGTCTAATTTTATGAATAAGATATTGTGCACATAGCATGATACTACAGGGTGTTAAAAAAAGACATGTTTTTTTTCCAAAATTTTAAATCCCCATTTACAGGGCAGTTGAGCTTGATAGTCATAATAACAGGTAATCCCTCGGGACATTTTTGAGATTTTGTGGATATCTTGGATAACTACGATTAGATAAGATATCCACAAAATCTCGAAAACGTCCTAAAGGGATTACCTAACTGTTATTAGGAAGGGGTATTAGGACTATCAAGCTTAACTGTTCATTGATAAAGTCAAATTAAGGAAATTGTAAAAGTTAATATTAAACAAGTCGTGGCTGTATAATCACAGGATTAAAGCCAATTAAATTAATAAAAAAAAAAAAAGCTTAACTGCCCTTTGAATGTGGATTTGGAATTTTGGAAAAAAACATCTCTTTTTTTAACACCCTGAGGTATCATGCTATGTGCACAATATCGTATTTCCAAAATTAGACATAAGAGTCAAAGAATCAGCTATTCAGAATTTCCAAAGATTTTCAAAATCGATTCAGTAATTTTCCAATAACGAGCTTTCAAATATTTTCCAAAAAACTAGGTGCGTCGATTTTTATGACGAGCAGTTTATATAGACTTATAGATCTTATAATATGACAATTATTGTACGCTTTTAATAATTGGCCAAAAAAATTACTTTTTCGGTGGCTTTTAATAATCATCAATAAACGGACAATAATGAAATCGGCCTAAAAAGTGTTATTTTTTGACCGATTTTGAGTACTAATTCATTTTATTTACCCTATATTATCTCCGCCTATGCCTGCGTAAGAAGCATGTCATTGACAATTACATATAATATAATATTAAGTAAATGTTTTTTAGTTTGTGTTACAAGATACAATAGTATACCTATGTTATACGGAGGAGAATGTATTTTTCTGCTTCGCTTATTTGCAATGCCTCGGCGCAAAGCGCCTTGACAGCAATCTTTTGAGCTCGGCACAAAAAGACTCACTTCTCCTAATGACATAATTTACTATTAGGTATTTCTTAGGAAAAAATACTGTACGAAATAATAATAATCAACAAAATGTTTCTTTGTTAAAAAAAATAGGAAAAAAAAGAAAACATTTTATAATTTCCACTTGAGGCCGAAAATAAATCCGGAAATGTCGCAACAAATCAAATGACACATGTTCGGGTTTTGCTAGGGATCTATCTGTTTTTTTCTTAGTAAGAATGTTATTCGATTTTATTAAAAAAAAATCGATTATCCAAAGTATCGATTTAGTTGGCACATTAAAACACTAAATTATAACGAACTACTAGTATGCGATGTTCATTTATTTTATTAGGGTGATTCAAAAAATCTGCTATTCTTTTTTTTTACTTATAATATATAATATATATATATTAGGGTGTTCCTTATTTAGGGGTCGGAAAAAATTTAACAGAGGCGCCCCCCAAATCGGTTCCAAATCATAAAAAAAAATTCCTGCAAAATTTTAGGTCAATCGGTCAAAGGGAACACGTGCCCCACAGGGGTTTTTTAATAAATAATTGAGAAAATTCGGGCTGATATAACTCCGAAACGGTCCATCGTAGGAAAAAAAGTGTATATAAATTTTATGTGTTTTTTTTAGATAAACAACTTTCGTAATAACAGTCCTGCGTTAAAAAAATTTATTCGGGGTCAAAACGCGATAAAACGCTTTTTTGTGTATTATAGCGCTACCTACTTTTTGAATTTTCTGTCCTAGAGCATCGACCAATGACAAAAATTTTTTTCTTAAACTAACCGATTTTGAAAAAAATTAAATCCAAAACTTTTTGAGTTTTCTCTAAAAACACGTTGTGCTCTGAAACTACGAAACGGTTTATCGTAGGAAAAAAAAGTTAAAATATATTTTGTAGTTTTTTTCAAGCTAATCAACTTTCCTAATGCCTTTGTCACAATAGTGTTAATGTTAATGGTAATGTTAATAAAGCATAGACAAATGCGTGTATCAACGTATAATTTACCTTGTATAAGGACATCTATGTTACTCCTTATACTATTTAAAAAAACCCGTATGCTTATTCAATAAACTTATCAACAATATGTGGTTTTTTAGGGGCAAATTTGATATCCATTTCTTAAAAAAATAAAATGGCTGATCCAATATGACGAAAATTTGTCGATCGGTTTTAATGGTTTGGGTAAAATTTAGTATTTAGATATTTATGATGTCTCTGATTAAGAATTTGATATCCATTAAAAAAACAAAATTGTGGATTCAAAATAACGGACATCAAATGCTCAACATTTTCGGCACACATTTTTATTTCTAGTTTGAATTTCTATAAAAAAAAATATAAACGAATTCGTATTTCATTCCAAATAATTTTTGTATTCATACATAGCTACTTTTACCACGAGAGAAACGAGGCGAGAGAAAGGCACTCTCGAGCGAGAAAAGAGTATTCTCGACGAGACAAGAGACCCATTTTCTCTCGCTGCACGAGACGA